CCTTTTGGATGAACCCTCCCCATCCCAGCTTCTCCCTATGGATGAACCCTCTCCATCCCAGTTCCTCCTTTTGGATGAACCCTCCCCATCCCAGCCTCTCCCCGCCCCAGCTCACCCTGAGTCTCTTGATCCCGGCCCGCGTGATCTGCTGGCAGTCGTACAGTTCTATCCTCTCGAGGCTGTGGCAGCTCTTGAGGTGCTCCAGGGAGGCGTCGGTGATCAGGGGGCAGTTGTCCAGCTCGATCACCTCCAGCCGGTCGTGGGCGCAGGCGCCGTTGCCCAGGTGACGGATGCCATCGTCCGTGATCAGCTCGCAGTGGGATAAACTCTGTCCCCAAACACAGGGGTTACACTCTGTCCTGAGGCTGAGGGGTTAAACTCTGTCCCCACACAGAGGGGTTAAACTCTGTCCCCAAACACAAGGGTTAAACTCTGTCCCCACACAGAGGGGTTAAACTCTGTCCCCAAACACAGGGGTTACACTCTGTCCCCAGACACAGGGGTTAAACCCTGTCCTGAGGCTGAGGGGTTAAACTCTGTCCCGAAAGAGAGGGGTTAACTCTATCCCCAAACACAGGGGTTACACTCTGTCCTGAGGCTGAGGGGTTAAACTCTGTCCCCACACAGAGGGGTTACACTCTGTCCCCACACAGAGGGGTTAAACTCTGTCCCCAAACACAGGGGTTACACTCTGTCCTGAGGCTGAGGGGTTAAATTCTGTCCNAAACACAGGGGTTACACTCTGTCCCCACACAGAGGGGTTAAACTCTGTCCCCAAACACAGGGGTTACACTCTGTCCCCACACAGAGGGGTTAAACCCTGTCCTGAGACAGAGGGGTTAAATTCTGTCCCCAAACACAGGGGTTACACTCTGTCCCTAAACAGAAGGGTTAACTCTGTCCCCAAACACAGGGGTTACACTCTGTCATGAGGCTGAGGGGTCAAACTCTGTCCCCACATAGAGGGGTTAAACTCTGTCCCTAAACAGAAGGGTTAACTCTGTCCCCAAATAGAGGGGTTACACTCTGTCCTGAGACAGAGGGGTTAAACTCTGTCCCCAGAAGGGTTAAACTCTGTCCTGAGGCTGAGGGGTTAAACTCTGTCCCTAAAGAGAGGGGTTAACTCTGTCCCCAAGCACAGGGCTTAAACTCTGTCCTGAGACAGAAGGGTTAAACTCTGTCCCCACACAGAAGGGTTAACTCTGTCCCCAAACACAGGGGTTAAACTCTGTCCCCAGAGGGGTTAAAACCCTGTCCCTAAACAGAGGGATTAAACTCTGTCCCCACACAGAGGGGTTAAACTCTATCCCCAAACACAGGGGTTACACTCTGTCCTGAGACAGAAGAGTTAACTCTGTCCCCAAATAGAGGGGTTACACTCTGTCCTGAGGCTGAGGGGTTAAACTCTGTCCCCACACAGAGGGGTTAACTCTGTCCCTAAACAGAAGGGTTAACTCTGTCCCCAGACACAGGGGTTACACTCTATCCTGAGACAGAGGGGTTAAATTCTATCCCTAAACAGAGGGGTTAAACTCTATCCCCAGAAGGGTTAACTCTGTCCCCAGAAGGGTTAAACTCTGTCCCCACACAGAAGGGTTAAACTCTGTCCCCAAACACAGAGGTTAGATTCTGCCCCCACACAGAAGGGTTAACTCTGTCCCCAGAAGGGTTAACTCTGTCCCCAGAAGGGTTACACTCTGTCCCCACACAGAGGGCTGTGGATTTTCAGGGGGATTCACCTGGCAAGTCCTCGAGGAGGACGCAGGGCCTGAGNGATGATGGTTCCCACAACTCGTCTGAGGGGGAGAAGAACCAGGGGATGGGAGCTCGGCACTTCCTGTGGATGAGCCCTACATATTCCAGATCCTCCTCATGGATGAACCTTCCCCATCCCAGCTCCTCCTCATGGATAAACCTTCCACATTCCAGATCCTCCTCACAGATAAACCTCCACAATCCCAGCTCCTCCTTATGGATAAACCCTGCCCATGAATGAACCCTCCCCATCCCAGCTCCACCCTGTGGATGAGCCCTCCATATTCCAGATCCTCCTCATGGATAAACCCTCCCCATCCCAGCTCCTCTCTATGGATAAATCCTCCCAGTGGATGAATCCTCCCCATCTCAGATCCTCCCCATGGATAAACCCTTCCCATGAATGAATCATCCCCATTCCAGCTCCTCCCCATGGATAAACCCTCCACATTCCAGATCCTCCTCATGGATGAGCCCTCCATATTCCAGCTCCTCCTCATGGATAAACCCTTCCTATCCCAGCTTGTCCTTATGGCTGAACCCTCCTCATCCCAGCTCCTCCTTATGGATAAACCTTCCACATTCCAGCTCCTCCCTATGGATAAACCCTCCCCATCTCAGCTCCTCCCTGTGGATGAGCCCTCCACATTCCAGATACTCCTCATGGATAAACCCTCACAATCCCAGCTCCTCCTTGTGGATAAACCCTCCCGGTCTCAGCTCCTCCTTTTGGATAAACCTTCCCCATGGATAAACCCTCCCCATCCCAGCTCCTCCCTCCCTCCTTCCCTTCCTCCTCCCTATGGATGAACCCTCCCCATCTCAGCTCCTCCCTGTGGATAAACCCTGCCCATCCCAGCTCCCACATATGGCTGAACCCTCCCAATCCCAGCTCCTCCATGTGGATAAACTAGAATCCCAGCTCCTCCTTTTGGATGAACCCTCCCAATCCCAGCTCCTCCTTTTGGATGAACCCTCCCCATCCCAGCTCCCACATATGGCTGAACCCTCCCAATCCCAGCTCCTCCATGTGGATAAACTCCTAGAATCCCAGTTCCTCCTTATGGATAAACCCTTCCTATCCCAGCTCCTCCCCATGGCTGAATCCTCCCCATCCCAGTTCCTCCCCATCCCAGCTCCTCCATGTGGATAAACTCCTAGAATCCCAGTTCCTCCTTATGGATAAACNAGCTCCCACCCTTCCCGGGGGCGTTTCCCCACAGGGACCCCCCGGTCCTGCCCTACCTGAAGCAGGAGGAGCCCAACGGTGGCATCTCCACACCACTGCCACCCTTCATCCTGTGCGCCACGAGGAGACCCCCACCCAAATGCTCCCCCTCAGGAGCTGCCCCACGCAGGAATTGGATTTTCCCCCACCCAGTGATTCCCCCGGCGAGACACAGCTTGGAAAATGGTGTTTATTGGTATTTATAAATATAAACATCAGGAAGAGTCCATTTGAAGACGGATAATTGACTTAAAAGGACACTGTCAAGAAGTTTGAGCTACCTTAATGCTGTCACCCTGGTCTGCAAACAGAAAATAAAATTGCTTTGGGTTCTGTGTTCTGGAGTTTTCCCTGGAAAACTCTGCTCTGTTCCAAAGGGATCAGCCAGCCAAAATCCCGCTCTTCTCTCTCCCCTGCCACAGTAGGAACTAAACAGAAGTGTTTTGTTTTTATTTTATTTTCCCAGAGTTGTGCAAATCCTGTGATTGCTGGGTGACCCCTCTGCCCGTCCAGTCTGTCACCAGCATCTTCTGCCACCCTGAAACCTGGAGAAAGTTCTGGAAATGAAGGCGCCTGAGGAGAGGGGGAGAATCCACAGCGCTAAAGAGGATTTGAATAAATATAAGGGGTTAAAAGCCACCTACAGGAGGGCATTGACAGTATCCTTTTAACCACAGCAGCCTGGAGGTGCTCCCAGGCTGGGGGACATGAAGGGGCTGCAGCTCCTGCTGGGAACAGCTCATTGTCCTTTGGGAATTCCTGGTGGGAAAACGGGAAAATCCCCCCCGTGCCCAGCCCCTAAACAGCCACTCCTGCTCCTGCCCCTCCAGGAGATTCCTCAGCACCCAGGGGAACCCAAACCCTTCAATGCAGCGCCGAGCTCCCCGCACGGACGGACGGCGGGAACGACGGACACGGACCTGCCCCTCAACCCTCGGGATCTGCCCAGCAGTTCCACCCTGGAATTTCATCCCTCTGGGCTCCCCTGGAGCCTGGAACACCCCAAAACAGCAGCCAGCAAACCCTCCCTGCTCCCCCAGAGCCGGGCCTGGCACACCCAGAGCCCACCCAGGGCTCCGCACTTACCTGGGCAGGTGGGGAGGGCACTGAGGGAGGATCCCAGCCCTGCTCCATCAGGGAATCCTTAATTAATTCTTCATCAGGGCAAACAAGCAAAAAGCTCTACTTGGCTTTTCCTTGGGGGAGGATGGAGGGATGGGACAGGAGGAGGGAACTCGCAGTCCTTGGAACACGGGCTGGGATTTTCTCCCTGTGCTGAGAATTCTATATTTGTATCTATATAATTATTCCCTGTGGGGAGGATTCTATCCTTGTCATTGGGATAAAACCTGGATTTGGGATGAGTTTGGACACCCAATCCCTGATCATCCAGCCTGGGGTGCAGCTCCCTGTGCTCCTTAAAAATCTTCCTGACAGCTCATCACAGGCTCAGGCTTCTCCTGGGGAAAAAAAATTCCTTATGGATTTGCTGGGAAATCTCAATAAATGACTGAATTTGGAAGAAAAATTTGAGAAAAAACTTAAAAAAAAAAAAGAAAAAAAAGGCAGGATTTGGGGAGGGTAAAATATGTGGAATTAGAAATTCCAAGGTCCATCACAACAATCTGGGAAGAATCTGACACAGGGAAGATGAGCCTTCATGTGAGCGTGCTCAGGTGGGAGCAGGGAAGCACAGGGGAATCCTGGATCCCAGGGAAATCCTGGATCCCAGAGGGAAATCCTGAATTCCAGGGGAATCCTGGATCCCAGGGAAATTCTGGATCCCAGAGGGAAATTCTGGATCACAGGGAAATCCTGGATCCCAGGGGAATCCTGAATCCCAGGGAAATCCTGGATCCCAGAGGAAAATCCTGAATCCCAGAGGAAAATCCTGAATCCCAGGTAAATTCTGGATCCCAGGGGAATCCTGGATCCCAGGGAAATCCTGGATCCCAGGGAAATTCTGGCTCAGCAGCTGCTGTTTCATTCCCTTACTGACAAACNGGGGTTACACTCTGTCCCCACACAGAGGGGTTAAACTCTGTCCCCAAACACAGGGGTTACACTCTGTCCTGAGGCTGAGGGGTTAAATTCTGTCCTGAGACAGAAGGGTTAAACTCTGTCCTGAGATAGAAGGGTTAAACCCTGTCCTGAGACAGAGGGGTTAACTCTGTCCCCAAACAGAAGGGTTAACTCTGTCCCCACACAGAAGGATTAACTCTGTCCCCACACAGAGGGGTTAAACTCTGTCCTGAGGCAGAGGGGTTAAACTCTGTCCCCAGAGGGATTAAACTCTGTCCCTAAACAGAAGAGTTTACTCTGTCCCTAAACAGAGGGGTTAAACTCTGTCCCCAGAAGGGTTAAACTCTGTCCTGAGATAGAAGGGTTAAACTCTGTCCTGAGGCAGAAGGGCTAAACTCTGTCCCCAAACACAGAGGTTAGATTCTGTCCCCACACAGAAGGGTTAAACTCTGTCCCCACACAGAGGGGTTAACTCTGTCCCCAGAAGGGTTAAACTCTGTCCCCAGAAGGGTTAACTCTGTCCCCAAACACAGAGGTTAGATTCTGTCCCCACACAGAAGGGTTAAACTATGTCCCCAAACACAGGGGTTAAACTCTGTCCCTAAACAGAAGAGTTTACTCTGTCCCCAGAAGGGTTAACTCTGTCCCCACACAGAAGGGTTAACTCTGTCCCCAGAAGGGTTAACTCTGTCCCCACACAGAGGGGTTAACTCTGTCCCCAGAAGGGTTAACTCTGTCCCCACACAGAGGGCTGTGGATTTTCAGGGGGATTCACCTGGCAAGTCCTCGAGGAGGACGCAGGGCCTGAGGCAGGAGCTGGAGCTGCCTCTCCTGAGGGGCGACTGCACTGCAGAACCCAAATCCCCAATTCCCCCAGGACAGCGTCCCTCAGGGCACAGCCCCA